TTTTAAAACTTTTGTAATAATTTCTTTCAAATAGTCTCACTAACATGTATATTGTGAGTTTAACAGAAGAAATTTGTTGATGGCAAGAAAGCTCAGGAGTCAAAGACACTTTTCTATCATTCTGGTTCAATGCCTTTCTCCTATAGGGTTGAGGCGCGACGTTAGGTAAAAGTATATTGATTTTTAAATTTTATACAATTTTTTTTTTTAATTATGATTAATAACATTTTCTTATTTATTTTTTATTTTTATTCAGGAGGTTTCTAAGTTCCAGAGCTCGACATGTTCAAGGACATTTATGTTCGACCCGACAATGAGACCGCTGAGCAGCCCCATGTAAGTATATGTAATTATTATTATTCTTATATTTATGAATCGTTCAAATATTAATTACATTTGTTTATTAAATATTAAATGTTTTTTCTTATTATTACAGGCTGCTATGGTGGAGAAGAGCATATGGCATTGCAGCTTCCCCTGGAGACCCCGATCAAGGATGTCACTGCACCCGAGAACACGGGTTTTTAGATCCTGACTAAGACCCTGGATCAGTGACACGCCCCGATCCCGGTGTCCGAAGGACAACAGCATGGCCACGTTGTGGCCGACACCCGAGGATGATGCAAGCCATTTCATGAATACATATGTCGAGAACATGTAAGACATGCATATAATTTTTGCGCGTAACAACGCAATATAATATCCAAAAAAAAAAACTTTAACAAAATAATAGTAATAAGGTACAGGTCACTGGACCAAAGGAGAATATTCAGCTACCAACAATTTAAAAGTGATAATGCATGGACATGGTTAGAGTATACTACTAATTCGAAATACAAGCGGAAGCGATATTAGAAAGTGCAATTACAAGAGATGTCCTACTGTAGAGAGGAGAACACAAATTCACTGATATGGAAATGCCTCGTAGCTTAGATCATATGCCTCGTTCCTAGGTCCTAAAGGGGCGCAAAACAAAACATGAGTAGACCAAGTTGATATATATATGTAATATTAAAACAATTGCTCTTCAAACGTACTAAGCCCCAGGCTTTAGAAAAACTTATAAAGTATAATAAGTAGTAGGTTTTCCGAAAATCCTAGCATGCCATAAATCGTTCGTAAAACATATATCATATATAGTGTGCTTAGTAGTGATATCATAATCATCCGAAGACACCTACATCACCCACCCGAAGGCACATATATTATCCATCCGAAGGCACATATATCTTCCGCCCGAAGGCACTACATTGGCCGCCCGAAGGCACATTGGATGAATATCCACTAAGTAATCACAGAAAATTATGAACATAATCTTTCCAAAATATATATCATCGGAGCTCAATAGCTCAGACATCATATCATAAATCCATAGGAGCATTCTAGCTCAAATCATCATCATAAACCATGTTCATAAGTATATATATTCATAAATATTTCAAAGGACGTAAATTCGATAAAGCATGATATTTCATAAAGCGTAAATCTGATAACTCAATACACGTTTCATAAAACGTAGTCATAAAATCATGCTTTTCATGTATGGATTTCTAGTAATAAAATCATGCATTTTGGAAGGGTTCCACTCACAGACACTCCGTCACCGAAGAGTTGTTTGAACTAGGGTGGACGAAAACACCACTAACAAACACACCTAAGCACATAAAGGGACCAGTTAATAAAATTCTACTAAAATGATTGAATTTGGGAAAACGGATAGTAAATTTGAAATCAGGACATCAAAATTAGTTTAGGAGGGGTCCCAGCCAAAACTTGAAAAAAAGTTAGCAAAAAGTCAACATTGACGGTCAATGGCTGACTTAGTAGAGCCAAGCTAAGTCGGAGCCGAGCCAAGCTAAGTCAAGCTGCAGAAGCTCACCGGAAACTGGAATTTTTGGCCAAAAGTTTGGGCAAATTTCAAAACTTTGTAGCTTTGTCGTTTCTTAACCAAATTCGACCCATAATATATCAAAATGAAGATAGGAAAGTGTAGAACAAGATTATATATATTTAAAAGCCCAATGGTTGCCGGATATGACCTGAAAATGGCCAGAAAGGTGACTGGTCCGCGGGAACTCGTCAGAAAGTGGGTAAACTTTAAATGTTCATAACTTCTTCAATACTCAACGAAATCGAGTGATTCAAAAACAAAGATCATACGTCTCAACGAGACGAAGAGAATGGTGCCTTTTTCAATGGCTAACTTGTCATGGCTTTGGCGGGAATATGACTCGAAATTGGCTGTCTTCGCCAAAAAACTGGGGAAGCTTCCTCGCGAGTTTCGTACGTCCAAACATCACCAAAACTTCTCAAAACTACTTCCAAACATACACAAGACACAATCTACAACTTTTGGACAAGTTTCAAAGCTTAGCATAGCCGAAGAAGGTGGAAACTCGCCGGAGAACTCGGTGAACAGTGAAACTGCACTGTGCAGCGATGAGGAGGTGTTTGGGGGTTTTTCTGGGTTCGTGGGTTCACAGGTAGGGTGCTGGTGGTTCCATGGTTATTGTTGTTTGTTGTGGGTTGCTATTTGTGTGTGTAAAGCCCTCGGGGAGGGTTGGTTCCAAGGAAAACCGACAGGAAGAGAGGGAGAGAGTGTAGAGAGATGTGAGAGTTAGAGAGAGAAAGGCTGACAGAAAATGAAAGGGGAAGGGGGGTTGTCACGGGACAAGGGGAAAAGCAAGGGGACAAACTTTCCATTCTGTGTTTCAGTGGCTCACAATTTAAGGTCACTAGAGATGAAACGTGGAATACCCCAAAAACGTTCGACGTTTCGAAAACGTAAAATTTTCGTTATAACTCCAAATTCAAATCCGTTCATGCCCAGATGTTCATGGTGATGAGTACAATAAAAATAAACTAAGAAAGTTAGTCATATGCATTTTGACGAGGTGGTCAACTAAAGTCAACATTCTTGCCACAAGGGCATTTTGGTAAATTCACACCATTTAATATTACAAAAATGTTAAATTAAGGACGGGGTATCACAATTAGACGCTCGGTTGTCGTCATAGCAAGGTTGTGCAGGGGATCGGGAAGGCACGGGTTTGTGAGACGGGTGCCTCCTCTTCTAGACTGACCACGGGGACATGTTGTTGCCCTGACAGAGGAAGTGGCAACCGTAAAAGATGGGATTACGGCCTACGAAGCCCAGATTGCAGCCTGGGAAGACTAGATTGTGGCCTTCTATGAGAAGATGAGCATGATCTTACAGGCCTTTGAGATGTCCGGCCTCCAAATCTTGATGCCAACACCTAATCCTACTCCACCTTCGACTTCTCAGCCGCTTCGCCCAGCTGATACCCAGTAGCCTAATGCATCAAACCCGGATGACTATTTGTTGTAGTTATTTTTTCTATTCGGACAACTTGTACATACATTTTCATATATTTTATAATTAAATACTTTTTCTTGGTTTAATAATTATTGTTTATAGTTTAATAAAAAAATTTGTAAAAATTAAATAAGACATATTTTGTCAAAAAAAAAAAAAAACAATAACTTTGCACGACGATGGCGTAATCTACCTACGTTGTGCACCTATCTTTGCGCAACAATGAGAGCAAGCTACATCACGCAAAATATTTTGCACGACGCAGGTTATTATCGTCTCGCAAATCCCTTTTATGCGACAATGGTGTAAGCTACGTTGCGCAAACCCTTCTTTCACGACCTTTGTGCAACAATTTCCGCGCGACGAAGGTTTCGCCGTGCTAATTTTTAGGTGACATTTTTTATCTTCGCGCAACAAACTCTGCTTCGTCACACAAATTGTTAATTGTAGCAGTGTAGGGGGTTGCTCAAGAAATCCTTTCTTTCTCGTCCACTCAGGGGGGTGCAGACACACCTGTGCGGTTACAGGTGACGATTTTTCAAAATTTTCCATTTATATGACAGTTTTGCATTGTATATTAGTGTAGGTACCTAATGTAGGTACATTCATTAGACTAGGTGCCATTGTGTAGGTACAATAGTCTAGATACAATATTTTCCTTATTAGGTACCTTAATTTAAGTATGCTGTAAGTTGAGGTGCAATGAATTAGTTTAGGTATCGTAGTGTACGTACAATCATACTTTTGTAGAATTCCTCTTATGATTGAAACATAATAGGTTTTCACATGGATTGACGTAGTGATCCGAATGTACAGTGGGTTAAATTTGGATGGAGGATCAAAAGTAGTTTAGTTGATGCTCAATTATGTGAAGTTCAATTTAATTAAAACAACAAGAAATGAAGATATAAATGAGATTTTAAAAGAGTAACGTTTTTTTAATGAAAATAACAATTTTTTGAAAGTGAATTGTAATGTGAATATGAATACTGACATAAACACAGAGTCAGAAGATTATATTTAATTTTGAGATTTATCAAATTTGAAACTTATCAAGATTATAATATAGTTCTAAAAAATGAATGGTCTCGCAAACTTTTTTATTTATGACCTCAAACAATGGACAAATCGGAAACCTCTTGAATAAATCTGAAGAGACTAACATTTAATTAAGTGGTCATAAAAATGATTTGAATTTCGATAAATTTTGCAAGAATAATATTGAAGAGAGAAATTCTAAAAATTAGACTGTTTAAATTATTAAAAAACAATAAAAGAACATATTCCATAAGGATGTTACTCAAACAAACCTATTTGAGTGATTTTTTAGCTCCCTCATAATTATCGTTACACTGTAGAGAAGTAGGACCAAACATGTACAGGGCCACATTGGAACAATAAACTTTCTGGTCTGATTTTCATCAGATTCACGGACCCTGTCCCATGCATAATGGTCAAGCTTCAACAATTACAATCAAGTCAGTAATAACAAAAACGAGGTCGTCTGCCTTGCCCTCACGGGAGTTACAGTCTCACAGATTTACATGGTGCCATGCATGCAACACATTTTCTTGTGTTTTCATTCAAAGTTCTTATTCTTATATAAATGCATTACGTTTGCCAAGTAAAACACCATGTAAGCTTTCTTATTGACGCATCAAATATGAAGGACTCCTCTTTCATGTTTAACGTGCTCCTCCTAGTCCTAGTGTCGTCGGCTATATTAACATCTGTAAGTGGTAGCTACATGCCCAAAAGAGATAATAAATTGGATGAGAAGAAAATTAATTGTAGGCGGCCGGATGAAAGCAATGGCGACAATTGTGGTGGCTACAAAAGTGGTGAAGAGGGCACTGGAGTTGCGGGTGGGAATAGACTTCAACAGGACAATAAGTGTGACGCTGCAGGTACTGGCCGAGGAGATGATTGCTGTGGCTGTGGAGAAGGGAGTGATAGTGATTTTGGTGGCAATGGTGGAGGTGGAGTTGGTGGGGGCGGGGGTGGGGGAGGTGGAGGGGATTCGGGTGGATATGGTGGAGGTTTTGGTTTTGGGATCGGTGGAAGAAGTGGTGGTGGTGGAGGTGGTGGTGGCGGCGGTGGTGGAGGAAATGGGGGAGGGGGAGGTGGTGGCGGTGGTGGAGGTGGGGTTGGCTAAAGAGAGAGTGCTTATGTTGGTCATATACCTGTAAAAACTTGTAATAATTCATAAAAGAATTGTGGCCTTGTTTCTAGGCTGCATTAATCCAAAATAAAGCTTAATTCCCTTATTTTATTTTCTGTAAATTGACTATCTGTTGATTGATTTTTTATACTATGTCTATACATATATATGCAGTAATGTAAAACATTTAATGGATTTACATAAACATGAAATCTGTCTGATCATTTCCTGGGACTTCCGATTCTATCCAAGAAATTAATTAGTACCGGTATACATATTATGTTGAGTAATGTTGACACAGTAAATATTGTTTCAAATTTCAACTCATGTGCCAGTTCCAAAAGACAGTAGTAATTTTCCCGAGGTAATAAAGAAAAATAAAGAGTTTGATGTTGGAATGCATGTTCAGCATTTCTTTGGAAAAGTATAAACCTAGAATTAAGAAAAGTAAATAAAAAAGAAGGGAAGCACTCAAAAAATCTCATTTTGCACTCAAATTTTTTATAATTAGAAAGAAAAATACACTTATAAGGAGTGTAGAATGAGATTTTTAGAGTGCTAATAACAGTTCCCAAAAAAAAAAAACATCACATATACTGCACTGCATAGCTTTTAGGGTCCAAAAATTTCACCAACAAGTCCAATTGTATCTTAAAGCTCAATTATCGCAAAAATGTCACAAGCTACTTAAATTCATGCAAAAGTGCGAAAATGAGAGGTATGTAAATTTACAATCACGCTACGCCAATAAAATAATAATTTACCAATTGAACATTTGCATAAACGTACCATGCCCATGCAAAACATGTGTATTTATATATCATGCCAATCCATGCTATTAACGATATAAATAATATCAATCACGCTACATGCTTGAGTGGGCCCAAGCCACATAACGGAGCTTGCCATCGTGGTGTGGATGGTTACGAAAGTTTATTGGGTCTACGTAAAATTAGATTGTGGAAGATTTTAGACTACTTGGAAGCACCAAAAATCCAAGCCCATGATTCTAATTTCATGTGGGAAAGTTTGAGAGAGAGCCAAAGACACTTGAGAAACAACCACAACCCAAAGCTGACCAGATTGAACCCAAAACGAGATCACGTTTTAACCAAGAGTCGCATGCCTCTTTAATGAGTAAAGAAAGAGCCCTTCCCTTCCAATCACGTACAGGAAAATGAGAGATAAAATAGATAGAAGCGTTGCCAAAGATGGAATCTTGATGTGGGATTTGGTGCAAAAAAGGAGGAACTCTGGGCAGTTACTACTAAATTAAACCGTTTGCGCAATGAGGGACATTTTGTTGCGAACAAAGCATTCTTAGGTCGCACAAAAACTATGGTGACCAAAAAATCATCGCGCAGATTTTGTCGCGCAAAGGTCGTGAAAAAAGACATTGCACGACAAACACTTGAAATTTGTCACGCATTTGAACAATTGCACGACGCTTTACTACTCGTCGCGCGAAAGTTATATGGACAAAGGTTTTCGTCGTACGATATAAAAGGGTAAAAGTGCGCTTTGGACTAGTTTGTCTCGAAAAGTTTGCGCGATGAAAAATGTAAGAGGCGTGTGGTGATGCGCGACGAAGTAATAAGATGCGCTTAATTTTGAGCGACGACTGGTCGGCATCACGCAAGTTTAATTTTTAATTAAAAAAATAAATAGAATAAAAATAATTAAAAAATAAATAGAATAAAAGGAAAATGAAAAAAAGATCATACTAATGACAAAAAAAAAAAAAGAGAAAAAAAAGAAGCAAATTAATGAATAAAAAAACTAATTTTTATTTATAATATAAATAAAAATGTACGTACAAATATAAAGTTTTAAAAGAAAAGGGGAACAAAGCTATGAAAAAAAAGCGGAAAAATCTATAGGCATGTTGCTAGGAGGTGCTTGGTAATCTTGTTGTTGGTTGGGGACGGGTCGGAGGTCGACGGGCCTAATTGCTGTGCTTGCTCGGTGTGGAAGGGCCCTAAGGGCAATGGTGTAGAAAAGCCGAGAAGACGTATTCCGGAGGAACTGAGAGCTTGTACAAGTATTGACATTTGAGACTTGTACGATGCCAGCTCACTCCTTAAGCTAGCGACTTCCTGCGTCAAAGCTGTAACCTAGCCCTTTGACTGGGAAAATGACGAGGCTCTACTCTCCCGCCGCCTGGCATTTCGCATCCCCCGACAATATGTCCTTGGCCTTCGACTGAAAGTCTGGTCCAACGTCTCTGTCACGATGTGAAACCCTGCATCCTCAAGGGGATCCACAGACTCAATCGTTGTGTCTGAGGGAAGCTGGGAGGCAAACTCCTAAAGCACTGACTGAGTTTCTCCACCATAGTCGCTTGTGAAAAAAAAACATGGATTATTAATAGAAAAAAATTTGAAATAATTAGTATAAATGTTTAATGCATAAGAAATTACTTACATGAAGGGACTCGGTCAACTCATTCCTAGGCCGAACTTAAACGTCAGCGAAGACATCGATCTCCGGAAATTCTAAATCCTCCTAAGATCGAAAAAGATAAGGAAAATGATAGTACAAAAAAAAAATTATTAGCGACATTTTAAAATTGAAAATGAAAGTTGTAATATATACCTTCCGTCGTGCCTCCATCCTATAGGAGAAATGCCTCGAACCCGAATGGTGGAGAAGAGCCTTTTTCTCCTGATTGATCTTGTTCGTCTTCGCCTTCTCCTGTTATACAAAAAATAAACGTATTAGTTGTAATACTTAAAGAAAATTTAAAAAATAATAATAAACATTAGTAAAAATTAAAAACACACCACATAGCCCGGCTTCTGAAAATGACCGCAAAGTCAAACCCAACTATCTTGTTGGTCGTCCAACTCCTTCGGACAACCCTCCTCGAGAGCAACCTGTGGATCATCAAACTGCTGGAAACATTGGTGCAGGTCACTCTTCCACTGCTTGTAGTGTTCGGAGAAAAGCCGATTGAGGTACGCGAACATGTCCTCATCCATGTCCTCCAAATTGTAGTTTGTCTACAATGTAACAAATATTATGAAAGTATTAGTAATAAAAGACAATAATAAATATAAATATAAATTTTACATGAAAAGCATTAAAAGAGCGACGTTACTTACAGACAATTGATTGTGCACCGTGTTTTTCGTCTCCTCCAGCATCGCCTTCCAAGACTTCCACCGCATAAGGCAAAAGGTCTGCACGACGTGCCCAATGTCGTGGGCCAATGTACTATGTTGCTCCGCCGTTGGTGCTGCTCAATGTCGCTCATCGTATCCAATTGGGATACGACTGTTGGTCACCCGGGTGACCTTTGCCGTCTTCAATTGCCGACAAGGTCCCCAGGTGTTTTTCTTCGCTGCAAAGAGATGAAAAAAAAAAAGTCATTAACCCAAAACTAATAACAAATCCCACTAAAATTTCGGCATAACCTCCCCTATAATTAAAACATTTCCCAAAAGCCTGAAAATAACATAAACAATATATGTGTCTAACACAATAGTCACAATAGTTTAATAAAAGGTTCGGAACAATGACAACTTTTTAATCCTTACTTGACATAACTTATCAAATTGAACCTAAAATAACAAACTCAGTTAACATGGGAATGAGGGAGTGAATTATGATTGTATACCTGGCCGTGTAGTCGAGGCTTCGGTTATGGATCTCAATGGCCATAGTCATTGCCCTCCGGGTTCTAATGAGGTGTGTCATCTACAAAATTGGAAATCAATTTGTTTCGTACACAAAGATTTAACTTACCGTACACATGCTAATACTTTGAACTTAAATTTAAAACGAAATTTAAAAACCCTAATTCTAAACCCAATTCAAGTTTGGCAGAAACAAAACTTAAAACTGATATACTATACACAAAGTAATCAATTCAGATAGGATATAGACCCAACAATTATAACTTATAAGAAGAAACTAGCATAAAGAACAACCTTACAAGTTTACTACCTAAAACCAAACAAATGTGAGGTGCCTCGGATATCCTTCTCCAACCGAATGGTCCAGATGGCCGGAGGGCCGAAAATAGCCCGAAAACTGTCTCCAACTGAGGGCTAGGCCAGAGGGCTCGTGGAATCTGAGAGAGCCCCATGGAATCTAAAAGGGCCAAAGGGCTGGAGGGTCGGGGCTGGCTAGAAAAAACATTAATCTTGTCGGTTATAACCAACAAGAATGCTTAAGCTAAAATTCAAATGCAACGGCTAGCTGACGTCAGCTAGCCTTGCATTTTAATTTTATTTATTTATATATTTTTACAGTTTTATTTACAAAATTTTTTCTATAACTTCTATTTTTCATATTTTTTTTAAATTCTATTTTTTTTCCTATAACTTTTATTTTACAAAATTTGTTTCATATTTTTTTTTTTTAAATTCCATTTTTTCCTATAACTTCTATTTCACAAATTTGTATGATTTTATTTTAAATTCTATTTTTTTCCTATAACTTCTATTTCACAAAATTTGTTTCATATATTTTTTTTAAATTATATTTTTTTCCTATATCTTCCTAAGCCATTATACAACATTAACTTAAATTAAGTAACATGAAACAACATTAAATAACATTAACTGTGACAACCAGTCCCTAATTTTACGTTTTTATTAATTTTAAAAGCATGAATTTACGAAAATGCCCTAAAGGTAAGGGCTTTGACTTTCGTTGACCATCAGTTTGAGAGATGTGTGACTTATTCTTTTAGCGTATCCTCGTATTACTCATTGATACAAATGCATAGACGAAAGCCGTTTGCGAGTCCGAATTATAACGGTATAGTCACAGACGTTTGAAATTTATTATTTAAAGTTAAATAATTTGAGCTCCCATTTTGTGGGAAAGAAGCCAATCGGTTTTTAAGGGAAGAAAAGGGACCAATCAAATAAAAGAGTGATGACCAATCAGAAAGGAGAAGAGAAGAAAAGAAAAAAAAAAAAAAAAAAAAGGGGGGGGGGAGCCCAACTTTCCCGTCCGTACACCTTGTGCGCCACCCAAGCTAA